CACGCGATGCTGCTGCTGGCCTTGCTGTGCGTCGCCACTTACCGACCACTGAGCGTGCACACTTTAGCCAGTACAAGAGTGCTCAGACCTTGTACGACGCTATAGTTGCACGCTACTCTTCCACTACCACTGCTGCACTGAGCCGCCTCATGCTACCGTACCTCTTCCCTGACCTTGCTGCCTTTCCCACTGTCGCTGACCTCATTACGCACCTCCGCACTAGTGACACTCGCTACCGCGCTGCGCTTCCTACTGAGTTCTGCGCCAAGAACCCCCCCCCTCCCCATGTACATCACCCTCTACTACATAGTCACCCAGCTCCCTGACTCTCTCCACGTAGTCAGGGACCACTTCCTCTCTGTTTGCCCCACCACTCTCACCGTTGAACTCCTCGAGAAGGCCCTCCTAGCAGCAGGATAGAGCATAGTCGATGTAGGAGCCTCTCGTGGTGACCCTCGCACCCCCGTCTTTGAGGGGTGTTCCCCCTCCCCCCTCTTGCCCTCTATTGCCTCTGCTGCTGCGGCCGACCTCGTTGGTTTCGAGTCGGTCGGCGCTGCGTCTGCCCCAAGCGAGAGACGCCGCACCGGCAAGGGCAAGGGGGGCAAGGGCACTGGAGGGGCTGGCGAGGGCGGTGGAGGTGGCGGTGGAGGCAGTGGAGGGGGTGGGGGTGGTGGTGGGAGTGGTGGCGAGGGTGGAGGTGTCGGTGGCAGTAGTGGAGGCGGAGGAGGCGGCGGCGGTGGCGGAGGGAGCGGAGGCGGCGGAGGTCGTGGAGGCGGCGGAGGCGGCGGCGGCAGCAGTGGACCTGGTCGCAACTCTGCGCAGAGGAGTGGCTCCGGTGGTGGTACGCGCCAGCAGCAGCAGCGCAGTCGTGAGACCTTGTCCCCTCAGCACCTTCGTGAGTGGTACGCTGCCCGTCAGCGCGGTGGGGGTACGGGTCCGTGCACCTACGTTCTCCGCACCGGCGACCGCGCTGGTGAGCAATGCAGGGGCCCGCACTCCACCCAGCGCTACTTCGGCCGCCTTACGGACACGTGGCGTTACCAGTTCCTTGAGGCCTTTGAGATACCTCGCTGGGGAGAGCTGTCTAGGGCGGGGTTTGCTATCTTTGATCTTGATGTTGATGCTATTCTTGCTGCCATGTATGCTGTTGCTGATAGTGTTGAGGGTGACTATTACCTGCGTGTTCCGCCTGACCCGCGCATTGAGCCTGCTGCTCTAGGTGCTGAAGAGGCTACTGCTCTAGGTGCTAGCACGTCTACTGCCCCAGGTGCTAATGAGTCTGCCCTCTCAGGTACCACGTCAGCTCAGGCCTTACACACCTTCACCCTTGACTCGGGTGCTTCCCGCTCCTTCTTTCGGGACCGCACCACACTTAGGCCGCTTAGTCGGCCGGTTGCGGTCTCCCTGGCGGACCCCTCTAGGGGTCCTGTCCTTGCTAGCTTCTCCACTGTCTTACCGTGTCCGGCAGCCCCCTCTAGCACCCTGTCAGGTCTCTATCTCCCCTCGTTCTCTACGAACTTGGTGAGTGGCGCTGATCTACAGGATAGGGGGGTTGACCAGTTCACTCCTGCGAGTCAGCGGGTGACCCACTGCACGTGTGCTCGGACAGGTCGACAGATGGCCACGTTCACCCGTCGACCGGGGTCGAGCCTGTACACCCTCACTACTAAGTCTCCTCTGGCTGCTGAACCTGGTCAGGTCGCTGCGTCGAGTCAGGTGTTTGTTGCAGCGTCCAGGTCTAGTCCTGAGTCGGCTCCCTGCTCGTGTCGTCTCCTGTCTCACCAGACTCTCCTTTGCCACCACCGCCTTGGTCAGCCCTCTCTACCTCGTCTCCGAGGCATGGCCTCCCGTGTCCTTGTCTCTGGTCTCCCCCGGTCTCTCCCTCCTCTACCTCCGGAGACTGCCCCTACCTGTGTCCCCTGCGTTGAGGGGCGACAGCGCGCCGCCCCTCACTCCTCCGAGTTTCCTCCGACACAGGCTCCGTTGTAGACTCTTCACATGGACGTGTGGGGCCCCGCCCGCGTCCGTGGCCAGGGGCACGAGCGTTACTTCCTGTTGGTGGTTGACGACTACTCGCGTTACACCACAGTCTTCCCCTTGCGCAGCAAGGGCGCCGTCACTGAGGTGTTGATCGACTGGATCCGCGCAGCTCGTCTCCATCTCAGAGAGAGTTTCGGCTCGGACTTTCCTGTTCTGCGTCTACACTTTGACAGAGGCGGGGAGTTTTCCTCTGCCCGTCTGGGAGCCTTCTGTCGTGCACAGGGCATCCGCCAGACCTTCACGCTTCCGGCCTCTCCACAGCAAAATGGGATTGCTGAGCGCCGCATTTGTATGGTCATGGACGTCGCTCGTACGTCCATGATCCATGCGGCTGCCCCCCATTTTCTGTGGCCGTTTGCGGTTCAGTACGCGGCGCATCAGCTCAACCTTCAACTACCAGTCTCCTTGCCAGAGACCACCCCACCTTGCGGTGGACGGGGAAGGTTGGCGATGCGTCTGCGTTTCGGGTCTGGGGATCTCGGGCGTTTGTCCGCGACTTGTCTACGGACAAGCTGTCCCCCCGTGCTGTTCCCTGTGTCTATCTTGGCTTCCCCCCTGACGCACCTGGTTGGTAGTTTTACCACCCCACCTTGCGCCGTGTTCTGTCCTCCCAGGACGTCACCTTTGACGAGTCAGTGCCTTACTACTGTCTCTTCCCCTACCGGGCCGCGCCCCTTCCCCCGCCGCCGCTCTTCCTTGCACCAGGTCCTCACCCGGTAGACCCCCTCCCCCCTCAGGGTCCTGCCCCGTCAGGTGTGTCGCAAGTAGATGCAATCGAGCCTGTCGAGGTAGCTGTTGACTCAGCTGCTGCTAGAGGTGCTGAGCCTGCGGGTGCCGGGTCTGGGGGTGCTGAGCCTGGGGGTGCTGAGACTGGGGGTGCTGAGTCTGAGGGTGATGAGTCTGGAGGTGCTGAGCCTGGGGGTGCGGAGCGTGGGGGTGCGTAGCCTGGGGACGCTGGGTCTGCTCGTGTGGCCGCCGGCGGTGCTTCGTCGAGGCGGGAGCCACTCTCTCCGCAGGAGCTGCGCGAGTGGTTTGCCCGGCGCTAGAGCCGTGCTGTTGGAGCTGGAGGTACTACTGTTGCTACTGGTCCCGGTGACGAGAAGTGAGAATGGATGAATGAACTATGAAACAGTTGGGTACAAGTACTAACCCTAATTAGGTTGTACCCCTTATGTATAAGCTATAATGCTCTGACACACCCCCATAGGCAAAGTGGGGGAGAACAAGCGGTCACAAGACCAGTCAAGCAAAGCAAAGCAAGCTAAGGGTGGATCACAAAGTCACCACACAGTCCGAGCACAAGAGAAAGGCCACTAGGCCAGTTCACATGCAAGATCATATATATGAAGGTAAACAAGCAAGTGCAGGTATAGAAAGAGGACACTACAAACAAGATCAAGAATTCAGCAAGTGAGGCCAGGTGGGCACAAGACCTAGCAAAGTACAGAAGCGCTGATGATCACAAGGCGGAAGGGCCTTGGTGACGCTATCAGCAGTGTTGACCTCAGAGGCCACGTAGGTGAGGCAGAGCTGACCACACTGCTGCAGCTCACTAGCCAGGAAGCAGCGGAGAGCAATGTGCTTCGTTCTGTGCTCCAGTCTGTGCTCCCGACACAAGGCCAGCATGGCCTTGTTGTCTACGTACAGAACTGGAGGAGAACGAGGCGGCTCTCCTAGGTCAGTCAGCAGGTAGGTGAGCCAGCGTAGCTCCTGTGCAGCCATGGCCCCTGCGTAGATCTCAGCCTCACAGCTGGAGCCGAGAACAGAAGACGAGCGGGTAGACCGCCACGAAACAGAGCTGGAGCCAAGGCTGAAGGTGTAACCCTGTGACGACCGCTGCAGAGCCTGGTCGTCAGCCCAAGAAGCGTCTGCGTGACCTGTGAGGACTACTCAACGTCGCCCTCCAAGCACTAGCCCCATGCTCGACGTACTACACTAGTAGCGCAACACCCTCTTCGCTGCAGCCATGTGCTCTGGTCTATGTCTACCAGGAGCAACATAGCGTGCCAAGATGCTAAGAGGGTATGCAAGGTCAGGTCGTGTGCAGGTCATTAGGTACATGAGGCAGCCAACAAGCTCTGGGTACGGGCCACTCGACTCTGTCGGACTCATCCGAAGGCAGAGCTGAGAGCGAGTGGCGAGTAGACGGAGGAGTGGCCTGAGGCGAGGAGTACGCGAAGCCAAAGCGCTGAAGGACCTGCTGCACCATGTGTGACTGAGTCAGGGTAATGGTGCGCTGTGCTCTGTCCCAGGTGATCTGCAAGCCAAGGTAGCTACGCAGTTCACCCAGGTTTGTGCACGTGTGTCTCTTCTGCAGCTCGGACTTCACGTGGGCGAGTCCAGCAGTGTCAGCAGTGGCAAAGACCAAGTCGTCGACGTACACGAGGATGTAGAACGGCGGCAAAGAGGTGTTGGTGCGCAGAATCAGCGACGGGTCGGCAGTAGAAGGAGCAAACCCAAGAGCCGCAAGTGTAGTCCTCAGTGTGTCGTGCCACTCATGGGGCGCCTGGCGGAGACCGTAGACTGGCCGCCAGAGGCTACACTAGGTACCAGGAGGAAACGACCCATTTAAGCTAGGAGGGCAGCGCAGCCAGATCTCCTCGTGCAGGCTGCCGTGCAGGAAAGCTGTGCTGAAGTCAAGAGAGTGAAGCTCGTAGTCGCGCTGAGCGGCTATGTGCAGCAGCACCCAAAGAGTGGTCATCTTCGGGGTGGGAGAGAAGGTCTGAAAGTAGTCAACTCCCTGCGGCTGACTGAAGCCTCGAGCCACATAACGCGCCTTGAAGACTGGTGGAGAACCCGGCGGCCGCTTCACCCTGAAAATCCACATGCCACTGACGATGTTCGCCCCAGGTGGGGGAACCTCGTCAACGTAGGTGCCTGTGGACTTCCAGGAACCTCGTCGACGTAGGTGCCTGTGGACTGCGTAGGGAGTAGGGACCCTAGATCGCCTCAGCGTACGATCAAGGAGTCGGGATGTCTGATGCATCCGGGTCTCCCTTAGGGGCAATCAGCGTGGACACGAGATGGGGCAAAGCAGCCGCAAAGCACTGGAACTCCTCCTGCCTGTCCTCAAGGACGTCCGTGCTAAGAGCACACTCATTCCCGACGGACGCAAGACAGACAGACTCAGACTCAGCAACGAGACTAGCAGCGTAGTCTAGACGACAGTGAGCAGCGAAGTCGACAAGCTCAGGAACTAGGGCAGACGCAGCAGTGGACTCAAAGGAAGGGTCAGTGACAACAGTAGCAAGAAGGCGTGTGAGCGAAGGACTAGCAGCACGAAGGGAGTCAGACTCCGGGTCAGCAAGAGAAGGAAGAGAGGATTGTGGAGGAGACGGCAACGGGACACGCAGAGGAGCAGTGGAAGGACGCAGTGCCATCTGGTGTGTGAAGGGAACCGCAGGAGGACGCGGACGCGCAGCACGACGACTAGTGCGAGCAGCACGAACAGGCGACGCAGGACGAGACGCAGGCTCACGACGCTCAGCAAGACCTCCAGTAGGACCAGTGTAGGGAGAAGGAGCAAGTAGCGGGGAGGCGGGCTGTAACTGTGACTGCGACTGGATTGGCTATGGACACTCTAAGGAAGGAGCAGGACCAGGAGAGGGCGGGAGACCAAGAACCTGCTCCAGGAGCGGAACGACGTACGGCCTCGGCCGCTCAGCGCCTCTAGAACCAGCAAGGACGGCACCAGTACCCCCTGCGGCAGCACCAGCGCCAGCAGCACCTCCAACTTCAACAGCGCCAACTCTAGCACCCTCAGAAGCAGCAGCGCCAGCAGCACCGCCAGCGCCAACACCCCCAGCAGCTCCAGCTCCAGCTGCACCAACTCCAGTAGGACCGTCAGCACCAGCAGCCTCAGCAGCACCCCCAGACGCACCAGCACCAGTAGAAACACCAGCGCCAACACCCCCAGTAGCTCCACCTCCAGCAGCACCAGCACCGACAGCAGCTCCAGTAGGACCACCTCCAGTAGCTTCAGCAGCACCCCCAGACTCAACAGCACGTCTCCAGCGGCAGGCGAACCACTCGCGCAGCTCCTGTGGAGAGAGCGGCTCCCGCCTCGACGAAGTACCGCCGGCGGCCACACGAGCAGACCCAGCACCCCTAGGCTCCACACCCCTAGGCTCCGCACCCCATGGATCAGCACCCCCTGGCTCAGCACCCCTAGACTCAGCACCCCCAGGCTCAGCACCCCCAGTCTCAGCACCCCCAGACTCAGCACCCCCAGACCCGGCACCCGCAGGCTCAGCACCTCTAGCAGTACCAGAGTCACCAGCCACCTCGACAGGCTCGAGTGCGTCTACCTGGGACACACCTGACGGGGCAGGATCCTGAGGGGGAAGGGGGTCAACCTGGGGAGGACCCGGCGCAAGGAAGAGCGGCGGCGGGGGGGGGGGGGGGGGGGGGCGCAGTGTGGTAGGGGAAGAGACGGTAGTAAGGCACCGACTCGTCAAAGGTGACGTCCCGGGAGGACAGAACACGGCGCGAGGTGGGGTGGTAAAACTGCCACCCAGGAGCGTCAGGGGGGAAGCCAAGGAAGACGCAGGGAACAGCACGGGGGGACAGCTTGTCCGCAGACAAGTCGCGGACAAACGCCCGAGATCCCCAGACCCGAAAGCCAGACGCATCGCCAACCTAACCTGTCCACCGCAAGGCGGGGGAGGTCTCTGGCAAGGAGACCCGGGGCTGAAGGTTGAGCTGATGCGCGGCGTACTGAACCGCAAACGGCCATAGAAAATGGGGGGCAGCCGCATGCATCATGGACGTACGAGCGACGTCCATGACCATGCCAATGCGGCGCTCAGCAATCCCATTTTGCTGTGGAGAGGCCGGAAGCGTGAAGGTCTGGCGGATGCCCTGTGCACGACAAAAGGCTCCCAGACGGGCAGAGGAAAACTCCCTGCCTCTGTCCGAGTGCAGACGCAGAACAGGAAAGTCCGAGCCGAAACTCTCTCTAAGCTGGAGACGAGCTGCGCGGATCCAGTCGATCAACACCTCAGTGACGTCACCCTTGCTGCTTAAGGGGAAGACTGTGGTGTAACGCGAGTAGTCGTCAACGACCAGTAGAAATTACTGCTCTCGCCCCTGCCCACTGACGCGGGCTGGGCCCCACACGTCCATGTGGAGAGTTTGCAGCGGAGCCTCTGTCGGAGGAAACTCGGAGGAGTGAGGGGCGGCGCGCTGTCGCCCCTCGACGCAGGGGACGCAGGTAGGGCCAGGCCCCGGAGGAAGGGGAGGGAGAGACTGAGGGAGACCAGAGACAAGGACACGGGAGGCCATGCCTCGGAGACGAGGCAAGGAGGGGTGACCAAGGCGGTGGTGCCAAAGGAGAGTCTAGTGGGACAGCAGACGACAGGAGCAGGGGGCAGACTCAGGACCAGACCTGGACGCCGCAGCAAACACCTGACTTGACGCAGCTACTTGGGCAGACTCAGCAGTAGGAGGAGACTCAGTAGTAAGGGTGTACAGGCTCGACCCTGGTCGACGGGTGAACGTGGCCAAGTGTCGGCCTGTCAGAGGACACGTGCTGTGGGTCACTCGCTGACTCGCAGGAGTGAACTGGTCAACCCCCCTATCCTGTAGGTCCGCTCCACTCACCAAGTTCGTAGAGAACGAGGGGAGGTAGAGACCAGACATAGTGCCAGAGGGGGCTGCCGGGCACGGAAGGACAGTGGAGAAGCTAGCAAGGACAGGACCCCCAGAGGGATCTGCCAGGGAGACTGCAACCGGCGGACTGAGCGGCGTAAGAGTGGTGCGGTCTCGAAAGAAGGAGCGGAACGCACCCGAGTCAAGGGTGAAGGTGTGGATGGCCTGAGCCGGCGTAGTACCTGAGAGAGCAGACTCACCAGCACCTGGGGCGGCAGACGCACTGGCACCTGGGGCAGCAGACGCACTAGTACCTAGAGCAGCAGCCTCACCAGCACCTAGAGCAGCAGCCTCAATGCCCGGGTCAGGAGGAACACATAGGTAACAGTCACCAGCAAGACTAGTATCAACTTCATACATGGCAGCAAAAATAGCAACCCCGGCCTTAGCCAGATCTCCCCAGCGAGGGATCTCTGACGCCTCATGGAACTGGCGACGCCACGCGTCCGTCAGGCGACCAAAGCAGCGCTGGGTGGAGTGCGGGCCTCCGCACTGCTCACCAGCTCGGTCGCTGGTACGGAGGACGTAAGTGCAGGGACCAGAACCCCCACCGCGCTGACGCGCAGTGTACCACTCACGAAGCTGCTGAGGGGACAGGGTCACACCACTCCGGTGCTGCTGCTGGCGCTAACCACCACCGGCGCCACTCCGCTGCGCAGAGTCGCGACTCGCTCCACCACCGCCGCCTCCGCCGCCGCCGACGCCTCCGCCGCCTCCTCCACCTCCGCCTCCTCCACTACCTGCGCCGCCTCTGCTCCCTCGGCCACCTCCACCGCCTCCGCCGCCTCCACTGCTGCCGCCGCCGCCGCCACCCCCAGCACCACTCCCACCACCACCCCCACTCCCTTCACCGCCTCCACCACCACCTCCACCGCTCCCTTCAGCCCCTCCAGTGCCCTTGCCCCCCTTGCCCTTGCCGGTGCGGCGTCTCCCGCTCGGGGCAGACGCAGCGCCGACCGACTCGAAACCAACGAGGTCGGCCGCAGCAGTAGAGGCAACAGAGGGCAAGAGGGGGGAGGGAGAACACCCCTCAAAGACGGGGGTGCGAGGGTCACCACGAGAGGCTCCTACATCGACTATGCTCTTCTCTATCGCTAGGAGGGCCTTCTCGAGGAGGTCAACGGTGAGAGTGGTGGGGCAAACAGAGAGGAAGTGGTCCCCGACTACTCGAAGAGAGTCAGGGAGCCGGGTGACTATGTAGTAGAGGGTGATGTACATGGGGGGGGGGGTTCTTGGCACAGAACTCAGCAGGAAGCGCAGCGCAGTAGCGAGTGTCACTAGTGCGGAGGTGCGTAATGAGGTCAACAACAGTGGGAAAGGCAGCAAGGTCAGGGAAGAGGTACGGTAGCATGAGGCGGCTCAGTGCAGCAGTGGCAGGGGAAGAGTAGCGTGCAACTACAGCGTCGTACAAGGTATGAGCACTCTTGTACTGGCTAAAGTGTGCACGCTCAGTGGTCGGTAAGTGGCGGCGCACAACAAGGCGAGTAGCAGCATCACGCGTGGCCCACTGTGAGCGAATAGTGGCGTCAGCATCAGCAGCAAGGGCAGGGGAGGCACCAGAAGTGAGGTCAAACAGGGAGAGGCCGTCTGCCCTATCGCACTGCAGGAAAAGCTGCAGATCATCTACCCAGACCTCAAAGTCCACTGCCCGACCCTCAGCGTCAAAGGTGAGAACGCTAGGGGAGGCCATAACAGCAGTAGGCAGGCAGTGAGTACAGTAGGGCAGGGCAGTGCAGTGGCAGAGACTATGCGCTTACCAGGCAAGTGGGGCGATCGGGCGGCTCGGCGGCTCGGCGGTCGGGCGGCTCGGCTGCTCGGTGCTGGGCGGCTCGGCGGTCGGGCGGCTCGGCTGCTGGGCGGCTCGGGGGTCGGGCGGCTCGGCTGCTGGGCGGCTCGGTGGTCGGGCGGCTCAGCTGGCCGGCGGTTCGGCTGCTCGGCGGCGCGGGCGCTGGGCAGCGGGGCCGTAGGTGGCGGCGAGGCCGCACGTGGTGGCGGGGCCGCAGGTGGCGGCGGGGCCGCAGGTGGCGGCGGGGCCGCAGGTGGCGACGGGGCCGTAGGTGGCGGCGGGGCCGCAGGTGTCGGCGGGGCCGCAGGTGGCGACGGGGCCGGAGGTGGCGCCGGGGCCGCAGGTGGCGACGGGGCCGCAAAGGGGCCGTAGCGGGGCTGTAAAGGGGCCAGGCGGGGCGGTTGAGGGGTCTAGGCGGGGCCGCGGAGGAGCCGTGAGGGGCCAGACAGGGCCGCGGAGGGGCCTAGGCGGGGCCGCAAAGGGGCCGTAAGGGGCCAGACGGGGCCACGGAGGGGCCTAGGCGGGGCCGCAAAGGGGCCGTAAGGGGCCAAACGGGGCCGTAAAGGGGGCCAGACGGGGTCGCAGAGGGGCCTAGGCGGGGCCGCAAAGGGGGCCGTAAGGGGCCAGACGGGGCCGCAGAGGGGAGCCTAGGCGGGGCCGCGGAGGGGCCGTAAGGGGCCTAGGCGAGGCCGTAAGGGGCCGTAAGGGGCCAGACGGGGCCTAGGCGGGGCCGCGGAGGGGCCGTAAGGGGCCTAGGCAAGGCCACGAAGGGGCTGTAAGGGGCCTAGGCGAGGCCTTAAGGGGCACGACGGGGCCGCGGAGGGGACTAGGCGGGGCCGCGACGGGGCCATAAGGGGCCTAGGCGAGGTCGCGACGGGGCCGAAAGGGGCCTAAGCGGGGCCGTAAGGGGCCACACGGGGCCGTAAGGGGCCGTAAGAGCGGCGCAAGGGGCCGTAGAAGGCGGTGCAAAGGGGCCGTAAGGGCGGCTCGAGGCGCTACTCGGGTGAGGAGCGAAGCGCGCTCCAGGCAGGGAAGGAAAAAAAAGTTCGTGGTGGGCCCTAGGCAGTATTCCCACTCGGGAACCTGCTCGATACAATGACGAGAAGTGAGAATGGATGAATGAACTATGAAACAGTTGGGTACAAGTACTAACCCTAATTAAGTTGTACCCCTTATAGGCTACCCCACTACAACCTACACAAATGTATAAGCTATAATGTTCTAACACCCGGAGGTGCTCGTACTGGCGGTGCTGGAGCTGCTGGGCCTGGGGGTGCTGCTGGGGCTGCTGGAGTTGATCCTGCTTGAGCTGCTGGCGGTACTGGAGCTGCTGGTCCTGCTGGAGTTGGTGCTGCTGGAGTTGCTGGAGCTGGAGCTGCTGGGGGTGTTGGCGCTGGTGGTTCTGTTGGCGCTGGTGCGTCTGAGGGTGCTCGAGTTGGCGCTGTTGGAGCTGGAGGTGCTGCTGGCGCTGGTGCTGCTGCTGGTGGTACTGGTGCTGTCCCTCCAGGTTCTGGAGGCGCTGCGCGACCGCGGCTGTACTTCGTTCCGCTCCTTGAGCAGGTTCTTGGTCTCCCGCCTTCTACTAGTCCTGCTCCTCCTTTAGAGTGTCCACAGCCTGTCCAGTCGCAGTCACAGTTACAGCCCGCCTCCCCTCTACCTGCTCCTTCTCCTTACACTGGTCCTACTGGAGGTCTTGCTGAGCGTCGTGCGCCTGCGTCTCGTCCTGCGTTGCCTGTTCGCACTGCTCGCACTAGTCGTCGTGTTCCGCGTCCGCGTCCTCCTGCGATTCTGGGCACCCACCAAATGGCACTGCGTCCTTCCACTGCTCCCCTTCATGTCCTGTTGCCGTCTCCTCCAGAGTCCTCTCTTCCTGTCCTTCCTGACCCGGAGTCAAACTCTCTTCGTGTTGCCAGTCCTACTGTCACGCGTCTCCTGGCCACTGTTGTCACTGACCCTTCCTTTGAGTCTACTGCTGCGTCTGCCTTAGTGGCTGAGCTTGTCGACTTCGCTGTTCGCTGTCGTCTAGACTACGCCACTAGTCTTGTTGCTGAGTTCGAGTCTGTCTGTCCTCCGACCGTCGGGGGTGGGTGTGCTCTTAGCGCGGACGTCCTTGAGGACAGGCAGGAGGAGTTCCAGCGTTTTGCTGCTGCTTTGCCTCATCTTGTGTCCACGCTGATTGCCCGTGAGGGAGACTCGGATGCACCAGACATCCGGACTCCTCGATCATACGCTGAGGCGATCGAGGGTCCTCAGTCCTCTTAGTGGCAGTCAGCCATGGATGCAGAGATGGCTTCCTAGAAGTCCACAGGCACCTACGTCGACAAGGTTCCCCAGCCTGGGGCGAACATCGTCAGTGGCATGTGGATTTTCAGGGTGAAGCGGCCGCCGGGTTCTCCGCCTGTCTTCAAGGTGCGTTACGTGGCTCGAGGCTTCAATCAGTGGCTTTGAGTTGACTACTTTCAGACCCTCTCTCCCACCTCGAAGATGACCACTCTTTGGGTGCTGCTGCACATAGCCGCTCAGCGCGACTACGAGCTTCACTCTCTTGACTTTAGCACTCCTTTCCTGCAGGGCAGCCTGCACGAGGAGATCTGGCTGCGCCGCCCACCTGGCTTCACTGGGTCGTTTCCTCCTGGCACCCAGTGGAGCCTCCGGCGGCCAGTCTACGGTCTCCGCCAGGCGCCCTGTGAGTGGCACGACACACTGACGACTACACTTGCGGCTCTTGGGTTTGCTCCTTCTACTGCCGACCCGTCGCTGTTTCTGCGCACCGACACCTCTCTGCCGCCGTTCTACATCCTCGTGTACGTCGACGACTTGGTCTTTGCCACTGCTGACACTGCTGGACTCGCCCACGTGAAGTCCGAGCTGCAAAAGAGACACACATGCACAGACCTGGGTGAACTGCGCAGCTACCTTGGCTTGCAGATCACCCGAGACAGAGCACAGCGCACCATTACCCTGACTCAGTCACACATGGTGCAGCAGGTCCTTCAGCGCTTCGGCTTCGCGTACTCCTCGCCTCAGGCTACTCCTTTGTCTACTCGCCACTCGCTCTCAGCTCTGCCTTCGGATGAGTCCGTAGAGCCGAGTGGCCCGTATGCAGAGCTTGTTGGCTGCCTCATGTACCTGATGACCAACACACGACCTGACCTTGCATACCCTCTTAGCATCTTGGCACGCTATGTTGCTTCTGGGAGACACCGACCAGAGCACATGGCTGCAGCAAAGAGGGTGTTGCGCTACTTGTGCAGTACGTCGGGCATGGGGCTAGTGCTTGGAGGGCGACGTCAAGTGGTCCTCACAGGTCATGCAGACGCTTCTTGGGCTGACGACCAGCCGACACAGCGGTCGTCACAGGGTTACACCTTCACCCTTGGCTCCGGCTTTGTTTCGTGGCGGTCTACCCGCTTGGCTTCTGTTCTCACCTCCAGCTGTGAGGCTGAGATCTACGCGGGGGCCATGGCTGTACAGGAGCTACGCTGGCTCACCTACCTGCTGACTGACCTAGGAGAGCCGCCTCGTTCTCCTCTAGTTCTGTAAGTAGACAACAAGGCCATGCTGGCCTTGTGTTGGGAGCACAGACTGGAGCACAGAACAAAGTACATTGCTCTTCGCTACTTCCTGGCTCGTGAGCTGCAGCAGCGTGGTCAGCTCCGCCTCACCTACGTGGCCTCTGAGGCCAACACTGCTGATATCTTTACCAAGGCCCTTCCACCTTGTGATCATCAGCGCTTCTGTGCTATGCTAGGTCTTGTGCCTACGTGGCCTCACTCGCTCACTTCTTGACCTTTTTTGTACTGTACTCTTTCTATACCTGCACTTGCTTGTTTACCTTTATATATATGATCTTGCATGTGAACTGGCCTTGTGGCCTTGCTCTTGTGCTCGGACTGTGTGGTGACGTTGTGATCCACCCTGAGCTTGCTTTGCTTTGCTTGACTTGTCTTGTGACCGCTTGTTCTCCCCCACTTTGCCTATGGGGGTGTGTCAGGCACATATGCTATAGTCTTTGTAGGCTGTAGTGGGGCAGTTCATATGGGGTACAACACTTTAGGGTAAACTACTTGTACTCCTCATTCTGCTCAATGCATTCATTCCTCGTTTCTTATCATCCCTTTGAGTCAACTGCTGCATCTGCCTTAGTTGCTGAGCTTGTCGACTTTGCTGCTCGCTGTCGTCTAGACTACGCTGCAAGTCTTGTTGCTGAGTCTGAGTTTGTTTGTCCTCCGTCCGTCGGGGGTGAGTGTGCTCTTGGCACGGACGTCCTTGAGGACAGGCAGGACGACTTTGAGTGCTTTGCAGCTGCTGTTCCTCATCTCGTGTCCATGCTGATTGCATGTGAGGGAGACCCGGATGCTCCAAACATCTTGACCTCTCGCTCTTACGGAGAGGCGATAGAGGGTCCCTAGGAGTCTCAGTGGCAGTCAGCCATGGACGCTGAGATGGCAGCTTGGAAGTCCACCGGCACTTACGTCGACGAGGTTCCCCCACCTGGGGCGAATATCGTCGATGGCATGTAGATTTTCAGGGTGAAGCGGCCGCCGGGTTCTCAGCCTGTCTTCAAGGCACGTTACATTTCATGAGGCTTCAGTCAGCGATAGGGAGTTGACTTCTTCTAGAACTTCTCCCCTACCCCGAAGATGACCACTCTTCGGGTGATGCTGCACGTCGCCGCTGAGCTTGACTACAAGCTTCAGTCTCTTGACTTCAGCACAGCTTTCTTATAAGGCAGCCTGCACGAGGAGATATGGCTGCGCCGCCCACCTGGTTTTACTGGGTCGTTTCTTGCAGGTACTCACTGGAGCCTCCGGCTGCCAGTCTACGGTCCCTGCCACGCGCCTCGCGAGTGGCACGACACACTGAGGACGACTCTTGCGGCTCTTGGGTTTGCTCCTTCTACT